AAGAGTTCATCCGAACAATTACCATGAAAGTATTTATAGAACAGACATAGAGTGGGACACATTAGAGCGGTGGGGACGTGAATGAAGCCGAGCTGACAGCTCAGGACCCATAATATAGCGGATTCTTCTTTAGATCTTATCAATGAGACCAAGTTAATAGCAGGGATAAAGAACTACATGTGGCAGTTTTATTCTAAGCATAGACGAGTGGTAGGCATATAGATATGTAAGATAGATTCTACACTATTTACATTATTCGGACTATTGTCTCCATCTTTGTCGCCATATGTATTACAACGTTTCGGTTGTTGTACGCTCCGGCCTTCTTCAGTTGGTTGGAGTGTCGAACTGAAACCTTTATTTCTCAAGGATACATGGCACAGTGGATAAAGGCGTTGGTTAGATCCAGTGACAGGACCCTGAAGAGTGTGAGGTCAATACCCGGTTAAGGCAGTGGAGAACTTGCAGAGGGGAATTAACAGGAGATAATTGTTAACTGACATCCATTAAACATGGCACATAAAACTAGAACAGTCTACCCCAATGAGCGAAATAAATGGTTCAGTTCTATATTCCAACCACCTGAATAAGGCCGGAGCGTACAACGGCCGAAACGTTGTATGTAATAAAGATGTCGACAAAGATGAAGACAATAGTCCGAATAATGTAAATAGTGTACATAATACTTCATCTCAGAAATATAGACAGATACTAAAGATAGATTCTGCAAAGAAAAATTTTCTGTCACGACACAGTGAACTAATCTTCTTAGATAATTATGGAATTGTTATTTTCCAAGCGTAGCTTAGATGTGGCACAAGGCCAAATGTCTGAGTCATCCAGTGAGTATCGAACTCACTATTCAGTCGTAAATGTTTTAGCGAGAGAAGCTAGCTAACCATTACACCTCGCCGAGGTGATATAGTGATTTTCTAAGCACAGCTTAGATGTGGCACAAGGCCGAAATTATGGGGCACCCAGTGAGGATCGAACTCACTACTCAGTCGTAATTAATCTAGCAAGACAAGCTTTCTAAACATTATATCACGTTGAGGTGCTCAGGAATATGTAGATATCATGGCATAAAAGATTGGTTCTTCAGGTTTATTGCTTTTTGTATGGATTTTAGACGAGTGTATCAGTTTATCAGAAAAAAAAATTATATAGACATTGGTTAGAATTTACCCGTTTCATTTCTTGAGGTGAAATGATTAATTATTATGCTGGATGCGATTGGTAAATTGTCGTCTAAATTATGCAAAAATGAAAATAACACTGACACATCTTGTAACAATAGAGGGCATTTATTCAATACAATCGGCATTCGTTACAACCACAGCCTCCAAACTACTTCGGATCACATGAAGTGAAAAGTTAAATTTACTGAACACATAATTTTTTGTTGGTTAATAAATATTTTTCCCAATTTTTAATTTCGATTTTTTAGGAAGGAAAATATTGCTAATCATTTTCTGTGAACCTCCAATTTTTGTAGATAACACTAAGAATGATTTTTGAAAAGCGAACACCGAGAATGATTTTTGATAAGCGAACACTAAGAATGATTTTAGATAAGCACACACTTAGAATTAATTTTTATAAGCTAACACTAAGAATGAACTTTAATAAGCGAACACTAAGAATGAATTTTAATAAGCGAACGCTAAGAATGATTTTTGATAAGCGAACACTAAGAATGATTTTTGATAAGCGAACACTAAGAATGAATTTTAATAAGCGAACACTAAGAATGAATTTTAATAAGCGAACACTAAGAATGAATTGATTGCTGTTGTTAGTCGATGTTTAAGGTCATCGATGTTAGTGGGTAGCGGTGGAACATAAATGCATTCTTTTACGTATCCCCACAAGAAAAAAATCATACACCGTGAGGTCTGGGAATTTCGCAGGCCGAGCACAGAGATCAAAGTTTTGGTAAGTGCCAGAATGAGGCGTAGTCTGTAAGATTTCAAATGTAGATCTCTTCTTAAATAGGGGATTGAGAAATCGAAAGTCCACAGCTAGGTCGATTTGTGGACTTTCGTGCCCCCCCCTCAAAACACAACACGGATTCTCGCCACTTGTTCCATGGAAAATCGTCGCCGTCCTGAACTTTTTCTGTTAGAACGAAACCCACTTTCTTGAAAATATTTAAACCACAGTCGTATTTTCTTTCGTCGTTGACAATATATATATATATATATATATATATATATATATATATATATATATATATATATATATATATATAAGGCAGGATCTGGGTGTGTGCATGCAACGAATGCACGGCCACAATTTTCGACGGATTTGCACCAAAAATTTACATGCACATGCTACAAGTTAGCGGGAAGGCCAAGACCGACTTTGCATTTCCCAACTCCCATTGATAGTGGAAATAATCGATTTTTCATGTTTCTACGGCAGTTTTCATGTAGTTTGCGGCCATTTTCTACTGGCCAGAGTGACAGTCTATAGCTGGCTGCCACGAATAGGTAGGAAGATTCTATTGGCCAGCGTGAGAGTCAGCAGCTGACTGACACGAATGTTAACTAGCATGCTAGCATGCAAAAAAATCGATAGATGCATTCGTCACAAGTTGGAAAAATTTACATCTGCATGGCACTTTACTCCAATTGGCTCATTCGGTTGCTTAAACTCAACGTTGATTCTGATTCCACAGAACTGGGTTTGGTGTGAAAAAGTATTTGTTGTTAACATTCTTTTTTCATTCGTTTTTTCCAGTTACGAGTCCTTTTTTAAAGCTGATCGTTTTGTGTTCATTTTGTTTAGTTCTTTTTTCGTAACAGATTTAATGTTTAGTATAGAAATTAGAAAAAATTCGCAGTGTGAGATAGGCAAGAAGTAAGGCATGTAGCAACATCAGCACGGCAAAGGTCACTCCTTTAAAGGCAAGGAAGGGCAATAATATTTTAAGTCAAGTGATAGCGATTGCTGTATGAGTCGTACGATTTTTTAATCAAGCACCGGCAACGCCGTGCCATTCTGCTAGTAATATAATATATATATATATATATATATATATATATATATATATATATAACTAGGTGTCACAGCAAAATTGTCGAAATCGTGTAACGGCATAATTGTCCATCCCACAAAATGTTTAATATCGAAAAACATTAAACTATTTGAGTTTCTTTTTGTCACGGTTTTAGATAAAACGAGTAACCATCTTGGCACCATTTATCGTAAGAAGCATTGAAAACCCCATTTGAGTTATTCAGCTAGAAAGAGAACAGGTAAAATCATTTTGTGTCAGCCCCACTGCCTTCCAAATAAGCAATTGTGAGAGGAAAACTGCATTCAGCTCATTAGTAATGGACCCAACATTCATACTATGGCTTCCATCTTCAAAATCCATTCAAGGCCCATCCAGGGAACAGTGAATAAGTTCTAAAAAGAGGAAACTGTAGAAAGGAAAACTGGATCAGGAAGTCACAGCAAGAAGACGGATAATCATTTCAGCTGAAAAGATCAATTAGAAAAGATCCATGTCAATCCATAAGGCGGTTGGGACGTGTGAGAAAAGTTTCAGCTATGACAGTCCCAAGAACAGTGACAAAAGACTTGAAAATGAAATCGTACGTGAAACGTGTGAGGCACCTTGTTACTCCAGAACAGAAAGGCAGAAGGTTAGAGAGGGCGAAGACCATCTTGAATAAGTTGGAAAATTATCGTGAACATATATATATATATGAATTTTCTTTAAATTCATCATGAGCTTCCCAGCCTTAGCTATGATTACTTAATGATGAACATGTCATTTTCGTTTATGATCGATTTCATCATTCTTCTGTTAAGCGTGAAGAGTAATTAAACATTCTTATTTATCAATGCAGAATCTGATAGTGTTATAAAAACCTAGGAAAATTCCAGTAAGATATCTTTAATCATTTCTAAGATGCAGTGGTTCAAAGTTTAATCTAACAATTGGACAATTTTGCTGTTACAGGTTTTGGACAATTTTACCGGTATATGTCAAACATCGGAACACACACACCTCATAAAGCTAGCTCTTTCTTCCGTACGGATATTTCCTCGGTGACTTGGCATGAGGTCCCTGAATCATTGCGGTCCTTGTATGCGTATATGTACATACAGTTGGATTTGGTTGCATAGAATTTACTGGGGTCTGCACCATATCCTATGTAGAATCAACAGTGAGATCTCAGCCGAGTGAGTTCACTAGTGGGAACATTTCTTGATCTTGTTTCGCGTTACTCTCGTTCGTTGTTTGCCTTCTTCTGCGGCAACACACTACCAGCAATGGTGTTATGGTCCAGGTTAGGAGCAAGGAAGAACAACACGAACACAAGAGTAGAAATAACGAAGGTATATTACACGAAATAATAATACAAGATGTGGAAGGTGTTAGTATGACTGTCAGTCTGGTTTGGAGTGAACTACTATCGGCTCGACTCGATTCGTCCCTCTCTCTCTTGAGAGGCGTAATATACATAGTGTTAGGAAGAGTTCATTCTGTAGTTATAGGTAAGGACCCATGACAAATGGGAAACATGTGAAACGTAATGATCGTCAAATTGACTGCAACAAAGTAGGTTATGTCCTAGATGTCAGTATTAGAAAAAAATCACTTCATTTTAAATATTGTTTTTTTTTTTTTTTTTTTTTTTTGCGAACTCCAAGGAAATGGAGACCCGGCACAGAGCGAACTAAAGCTTATGTGATAGAGTGATTGTGTTCATAGCCTCATGAAGTATCGGCACACTAACCTTCACCGTTTGCCCATAAAATCTGTAAATATGTTTCGACTTAGCAGGCAACAGGTGGTCACGTTCCCACAGTTTGTTGAGTGTTCGTAGTCACATATTTTGATGTCATCACTTAAATGTGTACTTTTTTAGCTGATTATTAGGAAACTATATAGAATGCACTATACACTCAATAGTGCATTTTCTGATTCTTTTAACGGAACCAGCGTTGAACTGATATGCGAGCTGATGTAATGTCCACAAGTTCTAATTAGATAGATAGATAGATAGATAGATAGATAGATAGATAGATAGATACCTGGTGAGTGAATGGATGGTGACAAGGGATTTTGAAAAAATGGTAAGAAGACAAAATGTATTAAGAGCTACAAAAATAAGAGGAAGAGAAACGCCTCATAGAAGAAGGAAGAAATAGATAGATAGATAGATAGATAGATAGATAGATAGATAGATAGATGAATAGATAGATAGATAGATAGATAGATAGATAGATAGATAGATAGATAGATAACGGACAGACCTAGAAAGATAGAAACATAGATAAATAATGATTAGACGGAAAAAAGCTATTTGCATATATATATATATATATATATATATATAGAGAGAGAGAGAGAGAGAGAGAGATAGCTAGCTAATGAACAGGATGAAAAGGATATGAGTATAGATAATGATTAGACTGAAAAAAGATTTGTGCATAGATAGATAGATAATGAACAGACTGAGAAAGTTATGAGCATAGATAGATAGATATATAGATATATAGATAGATAATGAACAGACTTAGAAAGTTATGAGCATAGATAGATAGATAGATAGATAGATAGATAGATAGATAGATAGATAATGAACAGACTAAGAAATTTGTGAGCATAGATAGATAGATAGATAGATAGATAGATAGATAGATAATGAACAGACTTAGAAAGTTATGAGCATAGATAGATAGATAGATAAATAGATAATGAACAGACTTAGAAAGTTATGAGCATAGATAGATAAATAGATAGATAATGAACAGACTAAGAAATTTGTGAGCATAGATAGATAGATAGATAGATAGATAGATAATGAACAGACTTAGAAAGTTATGAGCATAGATAGATAGATAGATAGATAGATAGATAGATAATGAGCAGACTAAGAAAGTTGTGAGCATAGATAGATAGATAGATAGATAGATAGATAATGAGCAGACTAAGAAAGTTGTGAGCAGAGATAGATAGATAGATAGATAGATAGATAGATAGATAAACTTTTGTTTTCCGACTGGACCAAATGGATATAAATTGGATAAAATAATACATTGCACCAAGATTTTCTGGTTTAAAAATCAATTTCGATAGCATGATTTCTCCCGCAAACAACTTCCCTTCACAATGTTTATGATTTATTGAAATCTTGTAGATGGAAAGAATTTTAATGAATTTTATGATAGTTACGCTTCTAACGTTCTTTTTGTTACGATTGAGGCGTTCAATAATTTTTATACATGCAAAAATTTGATTTCACAAATTAATATTTTTGCCGAAAATAAATTCCTTTTCTGGCAACGGGTGTGAGGGAAGGACATTAAAAATTTCTGTCTGCGATAGATTTTTTCTTTTTTTTAGAAATACAAAAAAAAAATATTGAGACGCGTCATCGATTTATGAGTCATAAAGGTGCCTGTTTAAATTAACGCTACATATTCGCTGAAAGAATTTTGCATAACTATTTCCTACGACTGAATATTACACGATAGAAAATTTAAGATGTTTGAACAAATACATTTAAGATTATTTAATATATTTTATTGTTATACGTTATCTATATAGACGCAAATATTTAAGTAAATGCTCTGTTTATAATAAACAGTATTAACAACATTTACCGGCCTGAATGTCCGAGAAATTTTCATAGAAAATATGTGTGCTCCGACTGGAATCGAACCTGTATCCTACACGGAACCATCATATAGCCTGACGTACTATATCAGTTTACCTACAGAGGGGAGTCTGGTTATCGAGATCGATTTTGCTGCTTTTAAACTACAATTTTCCATGATTTCCCTCGAACGTTCATATCTGCTCGAAGCGTATCTGAACGGAAAAAATATTGCACTAAAAGAATTATCGTCTAGTTTTTAAATCAGCAATTTTCATAATATTAATAAAAATAAAAATAAATATTTTGCAGACCCAACAGATTAAAAACACATTTCCACAATGTTTGATAAACTAATGACTTCGAGGTAGAAATCTGTGCAATGTGGTATCTCATGACAACAGTATAACGTGTTCTTATTATTGAGGTTTTAAGAAGTACGGTAAAATAAATTATTAGCCTAGAACTTATATTTCAACAATTTGAACAGCTAATTAATGAGACCTAGCTGCCAATTTAGTACTGCGCTTCAATTCGTAAAGTTGATGTATCAAATAAGTAAGCTTGTCAGAAAGTTAACCATGAAAATATTTATAGAAAATACACATGGAAGCTCCGTTATGGTCATGGGAAATTGACTGAAGGCCAGATGTCATATCAGGACCGATATCACTTCATATTCCATTTTTGGATTTCATCAAGAATCTTTAAATACATAACAGAAACACAAGACCAGATGTGACAGCAATATTCCATGCAAAAATCAATGATAGACTTATAAAGGTGTAAGATAGATTCTGACGCGAAAAATGTTTATAGAAGCAATATATGAAATAAATGCTACCACAAAATAAATGCAATTATTTTATTGTATTTTCTTGTAGCATTTAGTCCAGTGAACAGCATATAAAAAATAAGCGAACATACGAGCTTCATAAACGGTCGGGATCCAAGATGGTGGCTTCCGCCATATTGAATATTGACTAATCTTCAAGTTTTGAGGGTCTTGTAATACCATTTTTAAGGGTTTTAGAGGATGAGTAATACATTTCTGAGATTAGTTTTGGGATATAAGGTTAACTTTAATTTAAATAAATGGTCAGATATACGAGTAAGAACATCACCATCATCACCATCATTCAAAAGTTGTGAAAGATTTAATCTGTGGTTCACAAATCTTTTCCCACATTTCAGATTGCAATGTGTTGGTATTTTTAGAATCCTACCACTCGTCTTACAGTACCCCAGTCCTTCACAATCGCCATGGCTAAGGAAGAACGGAAGTGTCCCTACAGTCCTTGGAATGCCGTGGGAGATTTATAATCTAGTTGCCATCCTTATATATATATATATATATATATATAATGAGACATTGCAATTTTAACTACCCTAAATCTTTTTCAAGTAAACGTGCTCTATATACAAAAGAAAGAATGTTTAGCTTGGTTTCTACTTGGAAAATATTGAGTATTTCTCAGTATTTAAGATGGTGACTTCCACCATCTTAAATATTGATTTCTTCCTACCTAATAGTGACATAGAGATCAGCAGGCACTTAAACGTCTAGCTGTCATGACAAATTGGTCAGACAAAGACATATCTTCAACTGGATAGGTCTACTTATTTTCTTTCTCACCAAAACCGTTCCTGGCATCCCCCAAAAAGCAAAATTTAAGTCATTCTCTCGTTTCACTTCTCACAATAACAGTGGAAGAATCTTTATTTCAGGCTTTCGAAATGAAAGCAGATAAAGAATCATGCGTCTTCCCAGGATGGAAAGCAACAAAAAATGTGAACTCCATCGTAATCACTCAGAAAATTGTCTTCTGGATCAGCAGCTGTACTGAGGGATGCCATCTTGTTACTTGGAAGCTCCGTACACTGATGAATCTTCTGGGGACTATTCGTACATTGATGGAGGAAATGGACTTAAAGATATCTCAGATAAAATCTTTGAAGGAAATGCTGGAGTACATATTATGTCACTGCAGCGTGCACTTTGTGAACATCTCCTGCTCGACCAGTGTCTCACTGATAAAATTATCTCCAAGCTCATTGACAGTGAACCAGAAATTGAGAGCCTTATACAGGAACTTAAACAATTGTATTGTGAAGCTGAGAATGGTGAAATAAAGATTGCTTGGGTCAGACTGTATGGCAAAAATGATTCCTGCAATAGGATCTAAGGCATCTCGTCTTTCTGACAAATCAAAAAGCCATTAAACTGTAATTGAACTATCAGAAAATGTCTTTAGGGAACTCACTGCGGTTGATCGGTCAGGATCATGGAAAATGCACATCCATGCAGTAGCAGAGTTTTTACCTATATTTGCTGTCGCAGTTTACCCAAAAAGTCTGCTTATCTGTATCCCCAGAAGAAAACGCTTTGGAGGCTGAAAACCCTGAAGTCTTTCAGAAGTTCATGTGTGGATAACATGTTATCCGACGGAGTAACAAGTTTTGGGCAGGTCTGGGTTGTGACTTAGTCATTGAACAGGTGCTTATGAGGTCACTCAAATGTAAACGTTGGTTGATAAGAGTTAGTGGGATATCTGGCCACCAAAGGGCTATCTGGACAATGTTTTCACCTGTATCCTCATCATACCACCATGCAATGCAGGATTTATGTAGAATGCATTATACCACTAGGGAACAAATAAAGGAAGCACCTACTGCAAGAATAATCCAGGATAAAGTCGATCTGACGAAACTTGCATCGGAGCTTGAACTTTTTACCCCGTTATCAGAGGAAACATCATGGCGCAGTAACATAACGAGGATTAATGCTGAGGACGATGTGAATGTACAGTTCACCATTGGTAAAGATATTGTTTTCAAAATGGGAGGCCAAGCTATATTTTCATATTCACAAAAACGCAACAATAAAGCAAAGATACTGGCATCACCAAATGCTGACAGGGTTGCTGAAGACAAGACAATCAATTTAGTCGTTTTATTTCAGAGTTTCTTGGTCGTGCCGCAGAATGGTGAGATTAGATGAAGTGATGAAATATTAGTTTTATATACCGTACGCAAATAGGTATGTCCTAATCCTCATGAATGCGTTGGACACTATTGTAAGTGGGGGGCAATATGCTGCCTAAATTGCCAGCATGATCTGTCACCGTGGGAAGCTCTTGCCGTGTCGAACTCTCTGCCTTCGGGCAGAGAGAAACCCGGACGAGGCTATGTCGAAGGGCAGAGTCTCGTCTGGGGAGGTAGATAGATACCCGATCACGCATATGCGGGGTCTACGGGCAATTTTTGCCCGAACCAACGGGCTCGGATTTCCCCAAATTAAATTTGGCCTTGCGCCACATCCTACCTCGGGAGGAGGCAGGTAAATACCGTAATATGATGTCTAAATAGTTCACCACTAGCAGTGGTCTACCTACGTCACGTCGCTGGCGAGTATTGTATTTTGCTGATTTTATAAAGATTATCATTTCATTTCTAACCTTCGTTTTGATTATTCCTCATTCAGTAACCTTTTCTAGGTTACAACGATTAGCTTTTCTCCATACCTTTTGAAGATAAGCATCGACCACGAAATCCAGACAAATCCGGGCTTCTAGAGGCTTTTAGGAAACATATTAGTTCTGTGAATGGTATTATCATTCCAGTATATTCCTAAGAGTGAGGACTATGTTTTAGATGGGGTTTCCCCACTTTCACAAGATGGAATGAACTGAAGGAAACACCTACAGTTCAATTGTTGATACTTATGCATCTTTCACCGCGGAACGGTATGAAGAAGCAACTGTGGTCTTCGACGGATATGAGAGACCCAACACCAAGGACAACACCTACCAGGAGCGTAGGAAGACTACCAATATGGAAAATACAGTCAATATTACAGAGGAAAGAAAATTTGAGGGAAGGAAGGGACACTAACTTTCCAATGGAAACAACAAAAAGTCTTTTATTAATATAATCACAGTGCAACTGAGGCAACAAAACTGCATTGTCATACAAGAACCAGTAGAGATGCAATTGTGGAAATAGTATAAGCTTTAGTTTCTGATGGTCAAAACATCAGCCATATTCATCGGCGAAGATCTGTTGCTATTGCTTTTATACAATGTGAAAATTGACAATAAGCAACTTTTCTTTCCTTCCGTCAAAGGGAATTCACTTGTGCCCAATATCAAAACTTTGAAAGCGTTTCTTGGGAATGATTTTTGTACAGGTTTGTTGTTTTCACGTGCCTTCACAGTAGGTAACACTACCTCTAGAGTTTTCAGTGTTGGGAAAACATCTGTGTTTCGAGAAATCAGCAGCAGTGGTTCCGTCTTGCGAAGTTGTTCCCAAATTTTCTGTACTCCATACAAAGATCATATTGATATAGAAAGTACTGTTTGGCGTCAATATTTAAAGGGTGTGTGCTGGATTCTTCATCATCACCGTGGTATAGTTACCTTTTCAGCTGGCTGCAGAAAATATATTCGTCACACCAGAGCAGTTGCCGCCCACAACCTCGGCTACAAGCATCACTCAAGGCGAACTTATCTCTAAGTCAGTGAATGGGTGGGTACGACTGAAAACCTGCACCCTACAAAATGGGCATGGACTATTCAAGAGGGAAAATACCTGCCAATAATGATGGACAATAGCCGTGCTCCGGCCATCTTGCTTAGCATGATTCAATCTAAGTGTTCCACTGGATGCAGAAGACTTAGGTGTTGTTTTGAGAAGTAGGAACTTGAGTGCAATGTTGTCTGTGGAACATCCAGGATAACACACATAAAAATATGAGCTATACAATAATTCTAGATGAAAATGAGGACAGAATATCAGAACTTTTTGCCAAATAATGCAAAAGGAAAAATTTTCGAGCTCACTGTCAAAGACGTCCTGGTACAATGAATAAAGTAATTGTATAACGGAAAGACGCTCCTGACAACTGCAAGACATCTACCAACTAAAAGATTTAATTGTTAAATGGGCTAATTTTCATTTTTGAAATAGTTTAAAACTATGTGTGTCATAACATATTTGTGCATATATTCAGTATTCTAGTGCAATGACGGCCATCTATTTTGACGTCATATTTAGATGCTTTTTTATGTTGGCCTATTTTTGATATGTTGTTCACTGGAATAAATACTACAAGAAAATGCGATATTTTAATTTCTTGAGGTTTTGGGGCAGGTTATTCAACAAATTGATCTATTAGACGAACTCAGTAAACTAACTTTGTTAGAAGCAACCTAATTGATTGCTGCTGCTGCTATTAATGCATTGCTCTTTAATTACGAATTGAGCTCTCCTGCCTACCGGTTTGTATATATTTCGTATAGAAAACGTCAAAATGTCCCTTTCTCTCTTCCGGTTTGACTCACCTCATGTTAGCGGAATACCTTAGCTTGAGAAGGTACAATAAGCTGCTCTTCTGGAGGTTAGTATCAACTCTACTGATAAAAGACACACAAAGTTTATATCAAGCCATCAAAAGAGAGGAGAGCATTTACTTTTGTAGACGTTAATATTTAACATACATTAACTGCCCCATTTAACAATACATTGATGCAATAAAATTGATACAAAAGATCTAGAAAAGTGGCCGTTTAAGATAGCATTCATTTCACGATACACTAAGAAAGATTGCATCAGATCAATAATTCGTTTTAAAATACCATACTTTTTCAACGTGTGAAAAAAACAGCTTGCCAAACCCTGTCAAATGATTTCGTTATATCTAAAGAAAAAATCTCGACAGACTTTCAAAAATAACTATTAATAACACATTAGTAGTTGATGTCTAGAAGCGAAAACTGCATTGCTTGTCTGAAATAAAAGCCTTCGGTAAGAGTCAAAGATAAATCAAAAGATACTATAGTGTGAACTAAATTGCCAAGAGGACGGAGTTGTGATGCTCGT